AGCCCGACGGCTCTGGAATGTTGTTGACAAAGGCACCGACATGGAAGAAGATGACATGTCAGCGTTGGAGGCTATCCTCGCTGCTGTACCGGCGGAGTACAGGGAACCGTTGGGGACGAAAGGCTCAGCTAAGGAGGCGTGGGAGGCCATTGCGGCGATGCGCGTCGGTTCCGACCGCGTAAAGAAGGCGACGGCCCAGCTTCTGAAGCAGGACTACGCAAACCTCAAGTTCAAGGATGGTGAAACAGTGGAGGACTTTTCCCTCCACCTGCAGACGCTCATCAGCAAGCTGAAGAGCCACGGCGTCACCATCGACGAAGAGGAGGCGGTCTCCAAGTTCTTCCACTCCGTGCCGGCAAAGTACATCTAGATCGCTCTCTCCATAGAGACGATGTTGGACTTGTCCACCCTCACCATTGAGGATGTGGCAGGCCATCTGCGGGCGATGGACGAGCGCCTGGGGTAGGCGACAGCAACGAAGGACAGCGGGAAACTCCTGCTGACGGAAGAGGAGTGGGCTGCTCGGCGAAACTCCAGGAAGGCAGCCTCCTCTAGTCGCGGTGGCTAGGGCAAGCACCGAGACAGGGCTTCTTCGGAGAAGAAGCACATCGACTTCAACGCCTGTCAGTGTTGCGGGAAGATGGGCCATTGGGCACGGGAGTGCCCAAATCGCAAGAAGGAGAAGAAGGCTTAGGCTCACCTGGCGAAAGCCGATGATGAGGTTGAGGCCACTATCCTTATGGCGACGTTCTGTGCACTGCATGACGTCGAGGCCATGAAGAGGGAAAAGGCGACGATGGTGGAAGGACCTGGGAAGGCCCTGAAGATCGTCAACCTCGACGAACCACGCGCCCAAGTTCACCTCGGGCATGTGGGCGTCGACCAGGAGCAGCGGTGGTATCTGGACTCTGGTGCCAGTAACCACATGACGGGCTCCAAGGACTCCTCCGAGCTCGACGGCGATGTTACCGGTACGGTGAAGTTTGGTGACGGCTCAAGGGTGGCTATCCAAGGGCGCAGCACCATCATCTTCAGATGCCAGAATGGGGAGCACCGCGCGCTAACGGATGTATACTACATCTCGCAGCTGCGCTTCAGCATCACCAGCATTGGCCAGCTGGATGAGCGCGGTAGCGAGGTTCTGATCAATGACGGCGTTCTGAGGATCAGAGACCGGGAGCAGCGACTTCTCGCCAAGGTGAAGAGGTCCCTAAACCGGTTGTACCTGCTCGACTTGAAGGTAGAGCAGCCGGTTTGCCTGGTGGCAAGGCACTCCGAGGAACCGTGGATGTGGCATGCCCGGTTTGGACATCTCAGCTTTGATGCGCTTGGTCGGCTGGGGAAGATGGTCTGAGGGCTACCCCACATCAAACACGGAGGTGAGCTGTGTGACAGCTGCCTGGCCGGGAAGCAGATGAGGCTACCTTTCCCAAAGGCGGCCAAGTATCGCACGAAGGAAGCTCTCGAGCTAGTTCACGGCGACCTCTGCGGGCCGATCACGCCTGCTACATGCGGTGGTCGGCGGTACTTCCTCCTACTCGTGGATGATTGCAGTCGCTACATGTGGCTGCAACTCCTGACGAGCAAGGACAAAGCGGCGGTGGCGATCAAGAAGTTCAAGACGCGCGCGGAGGCTGAGAGTGGCAAGAAGCTCCGCGTATTGAGGACTGATCGGGGTGGTGAATTCACTTTGGTGGAGTTTGCTACGTACTGCGCGGATCAGGGTGTGGGACAACATCACACTGCGCCGTACTCGCCACAACAGAATGGCGTGGTGGAGCGATGGAACCAGACAGTGGTCGGCATGGCCCGATCCATGATGAAGGCCAAAGGGATGCCGACAAAGTTCTGGGGAGAGGCGGTGACCATGGCGGTGTTCATCCTCAACCGCGCTCCAACCAAGGCCCTAACGGGCAAGACGCCGTTCGAAGCATGGTACGGGAGCAAGCCGAACGTGTCATTCCTCCGGACATTCGGTTGCATCGGCCACGTTAGGAAGACGAAGCCGAACCTCACCAAGCTGGAGGACAGGAGCACACCCATAGTGTTCCTAGGCTACGCGGAGGGTACCAAGGCGTACCGGCTCTATGACCCACGCGGAGACAAGGTGACTGTCTCGCGCGACGCTGTGTTCAATGAGGAGGCGGCTTGGGACTGGAACAGTCCGAGCACGGGGGAAGTAGGAGGCTTCCCCAACACCTTCGTCGTTGAGCACTTGGTCATCCACGGCGGTGGAGACGCTGCGGAACAGGTGCCACGCACTCTAGGAGGAGCGCCGAGCACTCCGGCAGTAGAGTCGAGCACTTCTGGGGCAGTGCCGAGCACTTCAGGAGGGATGCCGAGCACTCCGGGAGGAGTGCCGAGCACGCCAGGAGTGGAGCCAGGAGGTTCTGCAGTGGTGGCGACCACTTCAGGACGGGTGCCGAGCACTCCCGTGGCAGAGCCAAGACGTCTTACTGTGGTCCCAACCACTCCAAGACTGAGGCTAGGCACTCCTACAGTGTGGCCGAACACTGCAGGAGTTATGACGAGCAGTCCAGAAGCAGTGCCGAGCACTTCAGGTGCTATGCAGGGCACTCCGGCGGAAGAAGGAAGTCCATCACTCCCGATCGAGTTCGCCTCACCTCCAAGTGACATCACTGAGTTCGTGGACGCCTACCACGAAGGTGAGGAGTTGAGGTTCCGCAGGCTGGACGACATCGTCGGCGGCATAGGTCCCTCAGGTCTGGCGGGTAGGCTGCTCAACGACGTAGAGCTGCTACTCGTCAGTGCAGAGGAACCACCCACGTTCGCGCTAGCCGAGCGTGATGGAAACTGGTGACGGGCGATGCTGGAGGAGATGAAGGCGATCGAGGAAAACGAGACTTGGCAGCTCGTTGATCCACCTCCAGGATGCCGTCCGATCAGCCTGAAGTGGGTGTACAAAGTCAAAAGGGACGAGCTCGGCGCCATTGTCAAGCACAAGGCATGCCTCGTCGCCCGAGGCTTTGTCTAGTGCGAGGGCATCGACTTCGAGGAGGTCTTTGCGCCAGTAGCACGCATGGAGTCGGTCCATTTGCTACTTGCTTTGGCGGCAGCAAAGGACTGGCGCGTCCATCACTTGGATGTTAAATCGGCCTTCCTCAACGGCGAGCTGGCGGAAATGGTCTTCGTTAGGCAACCTCTAGGGTTCGCTGTCAAGGGAGAGGAGCACAGGGTGCTCCGACTGCGCAAAGCGCTCTTTGGGCTGCGGCAAGCCTCTCGAGCATGGAACGCCAAGCTTGACACCACGCTGGGCGAGCTTGGGTTTTAGAGGTGCGCAACCGAGCATGCGCTCTACATGCGACGACGGGGGAAGGAAGAGCTCGTGGTCGGCGTGTATGTGGATGACTTAATCATCACCGGCGCGCGCACGGAGAATATCAACAGCTTCAAGCGAGAGATGGCAGCTCGTTTCCGAATGAGCGATCTCAGCGCTCTCTCCTACTACCTCGGCATCGAGGTGAGACAGGGGAAGGAGGAACTCACGCTCGGGCAAAGCGCGTATGCCTCCAAGCTGTTGGAGAGGAGCGGCATGGTGGAGTGCAAGCCATGCGTGACTTCGATGGAGGAGCGGCTGAAGCTGACGAAGGCCACCACTGCGGCGAAGGTGGATGCAACACTCTACCGAAGCATCGTCGGTAGTCTGCGCTATCTAGTCCACACGAGGCCAGACATTGCGTTCGTCATGGGCTACGTCAGTCGCTTCATGGAGGATCCCAGAGAGGATCACTGGGCTGCGGTGAAGCGGCTACTACGCTAAGTCAAGGGGACGGTGAATCATGGAATCATCTTCCCAAAGACCGGCGGGAGTAGGCTGTAGCTCACGGTATTCAACGATGCAGACATGGCGGGGGACATCGACGGACGACGGAACACCTCTGGCGTGCTCGTCTTCCTCGGGTCAGCCCCAATTTCATGGCTGTCGCTGAAACAGAAGATGGTGGTGATATCTACACGCGAGGCGATACGTAAGCGGCGCTGCCACAAATGGCGTGCCAAGTTGTGTGGCTACGCCCGCCATTTGGCCGAAGCGAAGCTGACCGGCGTGGAAGCTCACCCACTAGCACTGATGGTGGACAACCAGCCCGCCATCGCCCTCGCGAAGAATTTGGTTCTGCACGACCGGAGTAAACACATCGACGTAAAGTTCCACTTCCTCGTAGACCGTGTGTTGATGGAGGGCAAATCGTCATCGAGTTCGCCGAAATCGCTTTCGGCAGCTCACGGACGTCCTCACCAATCCGCTTTCGGACGACTTGACTCACGGAGCTGAAGGAGATGATCGGCATGGAGGGGGGACAAGGGTTAGCAGTAGGATTAGGGAAAGCTTGTTAGCTAATCTACTATCACCTTGTGTGAACACAAAGAGGAAGGCGGCGCCGACTTAGCCGCTTCTTCGTGTGAACACACAACAAGGGAAGACGGCGCCGACTTTGCCCCCTGCTTGTGATACGATGCAGCAGCTGGTGTGCAGCGCCGCACGCTCACCTGCAAGATCAGAGGAACAGCAGGCGGTGGTGCAGCGTCAGTCAGCCACTGTCGAGTTATCTAGTTATCGTGTCGACATGGCGCCGCACATGGACTAGATAGTTAGAGTTGTATAAATAGACATGTATGGCAACTCAGTAAAGAGAGCTTAGATTTGCCATCACACAGACAGGGCCTCGGCCAACGCTGTTGTCTTGTATTGTGCGTGCTTGCTCTGTTCTCCCTTCTTCTCCCAACTCCGTCCGTAGTGTGTGGGTACGGACAACGCCGGTACGTGGTCTGCACTGCTAGTGGGTGCTCGGCAACACTAGCGCGTGCTCGGCGAGACCGTCAAGTGCTCCTCTCGCCTGAGCCGGTGCACGGCAAGATCGGCTAGAGTGGTTCACTGACGTGAGTTGGTGATCCTGTGAGACCAAGGGTGGTCTAGAGGCCATCTCGGTGGTCTGGAGGCTATCTGTAGTGGTCTGGAGGCCATCTCGGTGGTCTGGAGGCTATCTGTAGTGGTCTGAAGGCCATCTCGGTGGTCGGGAAGCTAACTGTGGGCCAACAATGTTGTCACCTTGGCTGAAGATGGCTAGGTACAGCAAGCAGGTCTTGTGCTCTCTAGACAGATCTCTGTAGGAAAACTTGAATATCTTCTTTGCATTAATGGCCAATGTGTTTTCTGGACTTGCAGGATCCTGCACCTGCAGGCACTCAGATAGCCTCGCTAGTTCTTTCTTGCTCCTATTGGCATTAGCATACAAAGCACCAGCGAACATCTTCATGCAGAATTCATGTTGATGGCACTTGTCCAAGATGTCGCGGAAAATCTGGGTGCTGTTGTCATCTTCGTTGTTCACCCAATGTTGTGTGAGCTTGAGTACAATATCATGGTAGAGTCCAACAAGAGAATATGTTATTGGCTCTGTGGGTGGGTAGCAAAAGTCTTTGTCCTTCTGGCTGTCCCTCGTAGTCACTATCATTGCACTGCCCTTGGCGCACTTCAATAGCTTCACCGCATTCATTATATCCTCCCACTTGGGTCCACGTCTTCTATTCTCATCGTGCAGGATAATAAGCAGATTATCTTTATCATCTAAAAGCTCATTGATTTGATCCACTATCCATTTGATCATCATCTGCTGCTTAATCTTGAGCTCCATTTCTGGAATCTTATCCTTGGTATATTGGATGGCACTGGCGATTTGATCTTCACCAGGTTTTTGTTCTCCTGGGACACGGGACTTGGTAGACTTTGTGACTGCTAAAACGTCTTCTTTAATCACACAGATGATGATTTCTTTGATCTGATCCTGATTTCTTTGGTCTTCTGGTCACCCAATGTAGCAGGAGCAGGATTACTAGCACTGGTCAGGAACAGCTCCAGCAGAATCTGTTCGTATTGGCTGTCGCGCAGGTTCACGCCTTCACTTTTCATATACTTTGCCAGCTTCATAGCTGTTTTCTTTATAATCTTTTGCTCATCCGATTCTAGTACGTCCTTGGTTTCCGGCTCATTCCTTTCCTCTTTACATAGCACTAGCAGTGCCAAGGGTCTTGCCGTGTTTGTCACACTTAGTTGTTCAACAATATTGTTTACCCCTTGTGTTGCTCCATTGTTGTTGGCCTTGGCCCCCACTATTTGTTGAGTCACGTTGTTGCTCCCTCCTTTTTCATTAACATTCTTGTCTCCCCCTTGTGTTTCTTCATCCTTGATGTTCCCCTCTGTTCCTCCTGTCACGTGCCCCCCTCCTGTCTTCTCATTGATCTTGCTCTCCATATCTTTAATCTTGTTTTCGAGCTCTTTAATCTTGCTGTCGAAATTGGCTTTGAATTCCTCTGTGACCGTGATCTGATTCCCCCCTTCTGTAGCCTCATTCTTGTTGCTCCCAACTATTTTCATTTTAACACTGACCTTGCTCTCCATATCTTCAATCTTGTTTTTGAGTTCTTTAATTTTTCCTTCAACTCTGCGTTCAAATTGCTGCCTGATTCTTCTTTTCTCCTTCCTTCCATTGCTCCAAACATCGAATCGACTAGTAACCTTTTCTTCCATCCACTTCTTATCATCGTTGTGTTGCTTCTGAAGTCTGCATACACGCAGGATGAAGAGAAGAACCTTGTTGGGTCCTAGCTTATCTGATGGGTAGTGTACTGAAGGGAGGTTGATCCACACCGTGCGCTTAAATTGTGCGCTCGCTTTCTCCAAACCTTCACTTACAGTGATGTAGTCTGTATCTTCTGGTACTACAATGGCGATGGAACGCATTGGTCCCGCGTTGGTCCTTAGTCTCGCCACCCAGTTGCATATCTTCTCTATGAAGTAGTTATCCAGATTGGGAGGCTCCAGAGCTAGATGGTGGTAGTAAGAATAATGCTCGGCCACTGCTCCTGCCTGATGCTTGACATCTTCATCCTCATCATCGTCTTCTGCAGCCGCTGGAAGTGCAGCAGCAGCTTGAGACGAGGACGAGGATGATCGCATCAATGTCGACGACGACGTGGCGCCACCACCAGGGGTAGCTGGCTTCCCGGGGATCTCCACGCCGTACCTCTACCGGCGCTTGCCAACGTCGCCAGCCCGCTCCATGAGCTCACGCAGCCGGGTGGCTGCTATGTTCTTGGCGATCAACTCCTGCACGAACCAGTAAGCCACCAAAAGTTGCCTTTGAAACCACCCCTGGCACGGTGGATTGCCAGATCACCGCGTAGTAGGTAATGGTCGATGCAGTTGCTGCAGTCGTGGGCGAGCTGCCGAACCTGGTTCATCCACGTCTGCACTTGCTCGTCATGTGAGCCGCCGGGAGGCGCTGTCCTGGCTAGGTGCTCTAGGAAGCTGTTCATGCTCTCCATCTCCTCCTTGATGAACTCCACGTCGTTACCGACGCGTCTCAGCAGCTGGGCCTCAGCCCAGAGGACGCCCAGCAATGAGCTGACGGCTCCAGCCGCCAGCTCCGCCATGGCTACAACACAGGGCGGTGGCTTCTGCCACCGCCGCCGTGGTCTCGCTGGACAGTAGAGAACTAGAGACACCTAGTCCTCCTTAGCTTAGCGTTGTAGTTGGGCCGACAAGAAACGGCCGATGACATCCTCCCTGATGGTGCAATGGATTACTCATCCATTGGGTTAGTTTTGGTCAATGGTTGATTTGCTATAGGTCTGTTCTCTTCAACACCGTACCAGTGCTAGTTAGGAACTCAGCTCTATTTCTTGAAGAAATGCATGTCCAGAGGTATGCCCTGGCTTGCTAGCCTCTAATCTGCTCTTTTCTTCTGGGCAAGGCAACCAGATGCCAGATGGACGTTCTATTCCACTGAGGATTCTTCAAGGTATTGCCAGTGATCGACTTTATCCTTTGCTTGCTTTCCTTCCCTGTTCTTCGCATCTTTTCACGCATTGGACAAACCACAAATGAAGGAAGGCATGGAATAAAGTAAGGGGAGTAAAACCTGCCATTCCTGTTTAGATAAAAGGTAACTATAGTTGGATGAGCATTTTTTTCGTCCTTATTATGTCCCTATAGGCAGTTAGGCGCTACTACCTCCACTCCAAATTATATGTCCTCTTTGGATGGCTTTTGAGACAGCCCAAAACATCTTATAGTTAGGAAAGGAGGGAGTATTATCTAAGCCATCTATTGGTCTAGATGCAATGGTTGGAAACAAAATGGTTTCTACCACAATCGAAAATTGTTAAACATCTACAAGGTTTGAATCGCACATCTTGGTACCCCTCCAGGTCAAAGGGGGTATGAAATGCTGAACCTATGGAACAAACAGATCGTCAGGGAGGATGCACACAATTGTCATCTTTATCAATCAAATTATCGCGGACATGCAGACTCAGACTCCTATCTTTTGTTTTCTAATCTTGAATGTCATGGTCATGCCTCTCCCCTATTTTTTTTTACCATCAAGAAAGCCAAACAAACTTTTGCCCCCCATTCCGCGGACAAAATAGAGCTACGCTAATTTTGATGCATAACAAGGTACAGCGGAAGGGAGCTTTGATTTATTCCCTCTCTTTAACTTTATCTTTTCCTTTATCCCTGCTAAAGGCTTGCATCAGACGGGCCCAAGATTTGAAGAATGTGTATTCAGAATTTCAAAGTAAAAAAGACTTGATTGGTTCAACCCTATTTTTCAACATGAATAATAATTGATCAACCCTTGAATACAATTAATTAGCAAAAATAATTGGTATTCAATGAAAACGCTTGAAAACCCCTTGGCCCGCCCTTGTAATAAAAAGGGCATGCATGAAAAATCAAAATTTTAATATTACTAATTAGTGTCTCCAATTCTCCCTAGGTGTGACAAAAAAAAATTCCAGTAAATTCTCACAATAATTAGAAACGTATGGCATTTAATTTGGATACCTGCTCTTCTAATTATCTGTGCACACCAGTGATCGGGATGGAATGGTCTATGGTGGTGGCGCAATAGAGAGAGGACCAAAAATATAATTGACATTGTTAAGAATTCCGAAATTTAGAGGCTCCTCATACATTACTTCTGGTGCATCTTTCCTAGAATGCAGATTTATAGCGAGGAAAACCTCATACCTCCATCCCTATACTAAGTGTCGTACCTTTCCCAAATTTACAGGGAGGAATCTATGCGAAACCACCTTTTCTCTCTTCCGAGAATTTCTAAAGGAAAGGAGAATCGTTTCGCTGAAAGCCCGTTTGGCATCATTTCCAGCAATTCTAGTAAAATTGAAATTGATTCAGTCATCCAAACGCACCCTGAATTGACAGAGTTGACTAGTAGTCACTGTGAAATTGCTAATGATTAGACTATGAGAGTAGTGACTTCAAAAATATGCTTGTCATGCCTGCTTGTCCTGTTCCTTCGGAGTTCGCTATTAGCATGGGTGGGAGGATTATTGACCCACTTCGGTGCAACTTATCAACTAGCATGAAGCCTTAATTTGAACATAAAGCTGGCTACATACATCTCATATCAAAGTAAGTGCAAGAGAGGCCGCCAAAGACGTTCAAACATATGAGGATATTATTAGAGAAGACTCTCTCTAAGGATAGCACTGATCGCAAAAATCACATTGGTATGTCGCTTTTCCTTCACATCTGATCTTGGTTTTATTCATTGCCAAACTTCTGATTACTATTTAGGTGATCAAAACCATATAAAATTGGTGTGATCAAAACCATATAAAATTAGGTGATCTTGGATGATCCCTTCGTGGAACTCAGATTTTAATTTATATGTTTCGAGTAGTGGTGTAATAACTTCTGATTCTTTCATCTTGATCTTGATATTTTGCAATGACATCAGTTTTAGGCTGCTCCATGATAGACACACCCCTAATTGAATGTTTTATGTTTGTGTGTGAGCATAAATTTTTATGCCAGTGTAGTTGCACAACAAAAGTATACTTCTTGAAATATTAAGTTTTAGTGATATCCGTGATAAAAGGAGACTTTGAACTCCAACATGCCTTCATGGTATTTACTATCTTATTAATTGGCACCATCTTCTCAGTAGTAGTACACTCTGAATATGCATATTAGTCTGTGAACATCCCATAAACTTGTTTTGAAATTCTATTATGAACAAACTTATGTATTTTATCTTTTTTTAGGCACATTTAGCTGAAGTTCGGAAAAATCATTGTGCTGCTGGTCCAAAAGTTACTGATGTCTTTGGAGTTCCTTCATGTTTTGATTAGTTGATTTACTATTTAGGGAGAAATCATTTTTTTGATCTAGAGTATGAAAGTATATTTTAGACATAATATTAAAAGAAGTTTTTCTAGTAGCACTACAGTAAGATGCCTGGACAATCTGAGATCTAGTAATCGGATACATTTGATAGTCATGGCATGTCAATACTCAATACTCAATATTATGTTCTACGTGCTCTTAAAAAAAATATTATGTTCTACGTCCTGTCAGTTTCAGTATGTTGTGAGCCGGCCATAACGATAACGAACTGTATTTTTATTTGAAGCCAAAAATATTTTATTAGCACAATGCCAGCAACATATAATTTATTAGCTGGCCATAACGTTATTACTTTTTTTAATTACAAATGAGTAGTATTTTTGTGCCCTTGTCACGATTCCAAAGAAATTACATGTATACAAAAGGACAGTTGTACGTTACAGAGCCAGAGAATTCCTTATGTTTGAGCTATCAACCCGTGTTAACCATTCAAACCGGATAACCAACCCAACCTAATAAGCTAATCAAAACCATAGCAATCCGACGAAAATCAGCCTGCACCGCACTGATCTTGGGTTGTTTTGTAAGCGCTGGGCCACGAGAGTCCGTCCCATCCGCCACTCATCTGCTCTCTCTCAAAAAAAAAAAAAAATCCACCGTTCTTATCCGCTCATCCGTCCGTCTCGCGTGAGTGCGTGGATGCACATCCATCCACCCCACTCCGCCCTACCACGCCGTCTTCCACCACCGCACGCTCATCAGCTATCGCGCCGTGCCCTTCCCGCCACCACCCCGTGCCCCATCGCCGGCCGCGCCACACCCCGTCCTAGTCACCTGCGCTGCTCGCTCCCTCGCCATCCATTCGTCCCCATCGTCGCTCGCACTGCTAACCCCGCCATGGCCGCTAGGGCGCTTGTGCTGTGGCACCTTAGGTCCTCCTCGGCCGAGCCAAGGGCACCCATGAGCACGGCCAGTGCTGGTGGTGTCACACGTTGTGGCTCGTTGCTGGCTCCCACGCTGACGTCTGGAATCGATCGACCCCGGCCTTCCCCTCCTCTATATTGCATATGTATGTTTCAAGTGTTTCTAACATTTCAGATGTATGTTGTAATTGTTTCATCTTGATGTTGCAAAAGTAGATCGATGACGTTGCACATGTTGCAAGTGTTTCAGAGGCATGTTGGAAGCATTTGTTCGACGTTTCATCTGTTTTCAGACGTATGTTGCAATCGTTTTTATCTGGATGTTGCATATGTTTCACACATATATTGCATCAGTATGTTCCAAATGTTTTAGCTGTTTCAGTCTTATGTTGCAGCAAGTGGTTTCATGTGCAAGATGCAAGTGTTTCATTTGTAACACCCTAAAATTTGCAAGATTTTAAAATAGGTAAATTTGATTTAATTTGGTATTTTGTGAGCATTTAAACCTAGAAAAAAACTTTGTTAAAATTAAAATCAAATATAAAGTTTAGCAACTTGTTTGTGCATACATGCTGGTGCATTGGAATTATTGGAATGTGCGACATTGTCTAAAATTCAAAATGATTCAAATGGATTTGAAAAACATTTGAAAAAAAAGAAAACTTAACTCTCCCTATCCCCCCTCTCCCTGCTGGAAGCCCATCCCGCGCAGCCCAGCTAGGCCGGCCGGCCCACTCCCGCTCTTCCGCTCTCCCCTCTCCTCATCAGAGCCGCGGCCCAGCACCAGCTTTCCTCCCGCGTGGCCCACCTCTCCGCTGGCCCAGTTCCCCGCTTCCCCGGTTCGCTCCCTCTCCGCGGCCTAGTTTCACTTGGGCCCAGCCAGCCGCATCGCCGCGTTCCCCTTTCTCCACGCTCTGTGTCACTGTCAGCCCGACCCCACGCGTCAGTGATGCCGCCTTCTTCTTCCTCATGCAGCAGTCGACCCGAACTCTGTCCACCGTGAGAGTCCGATACCGTCCCGCGCTGCGCCTTGCCGTGCACTCCATGTCTTCCCGCCCCATAAAAGCCGAAACCGAGCACCCGCCACCTCCATCCAGCTCCGTCCGCGGCCGCCCCGTGCCCTAGCTACCGAGCCAGCGCCGCAAAACCCTAGCGTCACCGTCGCTGTCGCCGAGCCGAGCCGCCCACCAACCTCGTTACGTTCCTGCGTTCGATTTTGTTCGTGGTGAATTCGCCATCTCCTTCTCCTTCTCCCCGTGCTTTTCGGTTTGCTCTCCCGTGGCCTCTAGGGTCGATTGCAAGCGCGCCAGCGAGGTGTCTCGCCGCCGGCCATGTCCACCTCCGCCCTCGAC